TCAAGAATGACTTCATTTCACCCATGCAGCTGTACTTGGCACAGCCTGCACTAGTGTGGGATATCACCCTGCAGCTCCTGATCTCACTTTTTGTTTGGGTCAATCGTGCTTACTTAACTGCAGTGCTATCACCTTAGAGTTGGGCCCTCTATTTTAGTTAGGATTTACTGTAATCCTGCATGCTACAGTAGATAAGCACTTATCCAGTTATCCTGCACTATGTTTTGGTTCCTTTTTTAGCTCTCATCAGCACAAATGCGGGAAAGATTTTTTCCACGTAAAAGATACCAGCATCTAACAAAGGCTACTACAGCCTTCCTTGTGCCATCACGATTTTGTGGTTAGGCTTTGAACAGGTTCTTTGTTCTGCCCTTTCCACTAGGCTAAAATTTTCTGACATGAATTTGGGTAATGAAAACACATCATGTCTCTTCTTCACCTGTAGGTATGTTGAGTTTGCATTTAGAGACACTTGGAGGCACTTCCCTGCCTTAAAGTGAAGGAACAGAAATTGGAACTTTTCAGGCTAATTAAGGCTGACAAAACCTAAAGAAATAACTGCATTTGGCATTATTTAGAATGATAGAATGATTTGGGTTGAAAGGGACTTCAAAGATCATTTGGTTCCAATCCCCCTGCCATGGGCAGGGACACTTTCCACTTGCTCAAAGCCCCATCTGACCAGGCGCTGAACACTTTCAGGGATGGCACACCCATAGCTTCTCTAGGCAACCTGTTTCTGTGCCTCTGCACCCTCAAAGTAAAGCATTCCTTCTGATTATTTAAATTGCCTAGAGTATTGCCCAGAGGTAAGAATTCTGAATTATCCTACATGTGGATGAAAACTGAATGCTTTCTGCTAGGCATCTTCTTGCTGGTCACCAAAGACCTTAGGTCTCTTGGGGTGGTAAAGCACAGGAGAAGTCTGCTTTGGATGGGTTTGATGCTGGCTGATATTTTGGCCATAAAAAACTTCATTTGACTAGCTGCTGCGTTCCTGACCATATTAAATTAAACACATTATTTAGATAGGCAATGCAGTGTGCAGGCAACGATGATGTGCAAGAGTACCTGGAGGCTGCTCCTCTCCTTTGGAAGTAAAATGCGAAGACAAATCCCCCATGGCTGTTCAAGGTGGGATCCTAAAGCTTGACTTCTGTCCCTTCCAGTCATAACTATTCATGTGGGTTTTGGGCAGAGGAATTATAACCAGGCTAATACCTGTCTTGTCTGATCAAATTTATGCTTCAAAAATTTTTCACATGGTCTCTTACACATCTACAGCTAGTTGAGGGCAACAGTCTCTTATCTGAAAGTCTTCTGTCTAATCTGAGTACAATTTAAGCAAAGTGAAATACCTCTCTGAGAAAACCCAATGGCAATGTGCATTTTCCTTCATATCTGCCCAGACATCATTGTTTTTATGAAAACTTTCAGTTATCGAAACCCAAAATTTATAGCCATTCATCTACAAAACTCTCCTTATCTAATTATTATGAGAATATACACAGAGCTTCATTAAAAACATAAACAATAAAGATACTAAATTATCTTGATATGGAAAGAAAAATGTAAACTATTACAAGAGAGAAATGCAGAGGCGCTGTTCCAAAAAAATTACTTCTGTGATGCTGAAAGAAACTGTCCTTTCCACTGAGCTTTAACCTCAGTATAGAAACTTTTAGAAAATGCAGAAGAGAACACAGGCAGCTCACAGCAGCCATGCAGCAACAGGTTGGAAGCTGGAGGCTCAAATGGTTAGAAAGAAGATATAGGAGTAATAAGAGCAGCAGAGGGAAAATGTCAGCAATATGCTGGGGTGGGGTTGAATTATCCTTGATTGTGGGTCATATTCCCCAAACAAACCAAATCACAGAAGCCTTTCCAGCTGATGAAGAATTTACATAAACTTCAGTGTCATAAATCACAGAAGACTTATGGATATGTTACACACATCTGGAAATTGAAGCTATTTTCTTAGGAATAGAATAGAACAGAATATTTGGGTTGGAAGGTACCTACAGTGATCACCTCAGGGCTGACCAAAAGTTAAAGCATGTTGTTAAGCGCATTGTCCAAAAGCCTCCAGCAATCACCCATTGCTGGAGGAGAAGCAACAAAGCAGTATCTGGGATTTGGATTGGTGTACTACAGGTTTACCTTTTTCGCAAAGTTTTCCCTTCCACCCCCATAACTGTTGATGGTTCAACAAAAGGCGATGAATTAGCCTCCCTCACTGGATGCTGTTTCAAATTTCTTTCCATACTGAGAGTTGTCAGAAAGAGCTGTGCCTCTCAGCTTCCCAACAGGCTCCTTTTTGCATTGTTTTCCCAGCTGCTCCCATCCTCTGGCATTTAGTGTCAGCTGGGGATGGTGCAGAGTAGTTGGGAAGAAAAACAGAGCTGAAAGACTACAGTGGTCATTAAGAAAAATAACAGCTTAGAGGGTGCAGGCTGAAAAAATATAATTATGAAGCCATTCGCTATTCAAGCAGAGACAACTTCCAGTGTTGATAACATTATTTATCTTTTGTGTGGCACTTCAGACACAGTCGCTAATTAATCCTTGTGACACATCTGTAAGTTATGCCAGTGTATTGCTGTCTCACCCTTTCACTGTGCAAGGAAACAGAGACATTTAAAGCCCAAAGGAGTAAAGGTCAACATTAAAGAAGAGACATGCTCAGTCCCAGCTCACTGCTTCTATCACAAAGAACACTTTCTTTCTGTAGGGTGGCAAAAACAGTGCAGAGGGGACCCTTTACTCCTCCTGCCATAAGCACAAGCCTATACAACACAACACACACAAGACAAAAAATGCCTCAACGTCGTTAGACAAACTCATTGTACAAAGGTAGTAGAGACCTTTGTTTAATCTGGTGCAACAGGTGATCCCCATAACCAGGGAAGAGGGCAGAGAACTGTTCTCAGCCTCCCAGGACAAAGCACCCCTTGAGTTTTCTGCCACCAAGGCAGGCTGCACTGGCTACTGCCTGCTGGGTAGTTTTGTCCCTAATGCTACCAGAGTGGAAATGTCACCAAAAATAGGCAAGAAAACTCGGGCAGAAAACCAAAAGCCCTTGAGAATTTGTTTGAGCACCCTGAAAGTTAGTGAGCACTGTCTTCCAGAATTAGCCTATTTCTTCTGTTTAATAGGAGGAGAGGGTTCTTTCTTCATTCAATTTGTGTAAACTATTTCTTTTTAATGGAAAATCCTAGACAGCAGAAACAAAGGAGACACAAGCTGGATGAGGATGGAGAGTTAGGCTGGAGTCATCCAAGTAGGGATTTTTAACAACAAATAAAACTATTATTGATTTCTTGAAGTAGAAAGTTCATTTCTAGACCACCCTCATTTTGCAAGTTCTACGTGCAACCTAACACAATGTGGTAGAGTTCACACTGATGTCAGCAAGACCACAAAAACTGCTGTCATACACCAGGTTTGCAACCCAGCTGGTGTTGTGTGATGCTGTCCCAAAATCTCATGTAAGGGGTGCACACGGGAAGCTATGGGCTAGAGTGGGGCTTCGAGTTTCTTGTTGACCTCTCATCATTAGGAAGCTGCCTCCAGCATGAGATTCCCAGCTAAACCTCAGTTTTATCATCATCTACAGATCACTCCAGAGAGCCCCACATGGGGTCCTTTTCTTCAGTGACCCATTGCAGCACTGAGCTCTGCAGCCTCATTTTAAGCCTCTCCTTCCACATCTCATGTTTGCTGTCACTGGGTTTGCTTGAGTATGCTTTGTGTCAGTGTTTCAGTGCCCCAAGACTAGCAGCTCCCAGTTTCTTCTTTTGTTCCTGGGTAAACAATCATGAGCTTTTCAATTTCTCTTCAATCAGTTTTTCTGTGTCCCTAATGATTCTTTGTGCTTAATGTTGAATCCTTTTTGATTTGCTTTGAAGCTTTTTTAGGTGCCTATTTGTTCATCTAACCATCCACTCTCTGAAAGATGTTTCTGCAGGAACTGTCAATATTTCAATCCAAATTTACTTACAAATTAAATGAAACCATGCTTGAAAAAATTATTCACAGCTTCTGTTTTTTTATTGTAGCCCTAAAGATCCAAGAGTACTAATTGGCTTGTAAGTACACTTGAAACTCGTGGATTTATGCCTTTTATCAGCTACCTTTTTCCTTTAGTTAATTACTTTCTGCTTAAAGGAATTGTTTAATCTCTGGTTTTTGGCACACCCTCTCCTTCCATTTGGAAGATGTTTCCTCCTTTTCTCTTCCTATCTGGGCACATGTTGTGTAGTAAAAATATGAATATATTCTTTACATGCTTCTGAGTGCTGGCCTGAGTGGAAGGATTTCTCCTTTTCCTACATAGGCAATGTACTACCTGGAGCTAAAGAAACCAGTCCCTCTAAATTGTCATGCAACTTCTGTTAGTACTGAGATGCAGAGAGCGAGAAAGGGGAAATGCTGCCAAAAACAGGAAAGGAAACCGGGGCATAAACCCAGGAACACTTGAGAGCCAGGTCTGGATCTTAGGAGCAACAGAATTCACTCATTTGGCTTCTAACCATTTGCAGCAATACAGACATAAAATTAATGACACTCTATTTGTTAAAAATTGACCTGGGAAAGAAGCCTATCATATTAACAAAACTAATCAACACAGGATTGACTAAATAAATCATCACCATTGCCCTCCCGCTCACCCTGCCAGGTTGTGTGCTGGTGCTTTTTTGTTTGTTTCTATTCAGAGGCAGTAAATGACTTTCTCTCCACCTTGCCAACCAGCCCCTTCAGCTGGTGCCAGCTGCAGCCTCACCCTTACAGCAGCTCTTGGGCTGAAAACAACTGATCGAACTTCTCAGGTGACTGCACTTATCGTACCTGCTTAAATGCCACCTTGTTGCCAAGAGAAAAGCTCTTTACCTTGGGATCGCTAAGGAAGACAGCAATCAGGGAACAACAAACACAAACCACCTCTCAGCAGAACCTTTTCACTTGGACTTGATGCACAACTAATGCAGCATGGTACTTACTTCTGGTCCCAGTTTCTCCAGGAGGTGATGAAAAAAGTTGTCAAGTTCCTTGCCTTCTATGTAACCGTTGTCTAAATAAAAGTCAAATATATTAACGGTCAGGTGGTACTGCCCGAGTTCCAGGAACTGTGTCATGGGCTGCATGCAGGGAGCTCCAGGCTGCATGATCAGGATCTCAGCTGGGGGTCCTGTCTGCCCACTCAGGAGGGTCCTATTCGATTTGATCTGGTCACTTCTATGTAGGGACTGGGCGCAGCGCTGCTGGGCGCCCCTAGGAGTTTTCCTCACAAAAAAATTTCTTGAAAAAAAATTCCACTAACTGACCCCAGAAGAGGGAACAGCAGACAGAATGGGGGTGCGATGAAAAGGCAAAAACTTTGGGGTGAAAAGGGGGATTTACAGATGTGCTATTCGGCCACGATAAGGAGGAAGAGGTGGGCTCGGAAACACCCCCAGGACCTTGTGGGGGTGAAGCTTGGACGTGCTGGCAGAAAGCCACTGGTGCAGGCTCCCAGCCACGCGTGCGACAGCCGGGACGTCCCACATCGCACCCACCCGCACGGTCCCGCTCCCACCCGCACAGGCAACCCGCCCCTCCGCCAGACACCCCGCCTGGGGCTCCAGCCACGCGTGTCCGCCCTCCCCGCCGTCCCCACTTGCCGTCGGCGTCGAAGTGCCGCCAGGCCCCGAGGAAGGCGGCGGCGTCCAGGCGCCCCTCGGCGCCGCTCTCCATGGTGCTGCCTGCCCGCCCGCCCCGCGCAGCCCCCGCACCCTCCGCGCCCCGCACCGCCGGCTCTGCCCGCGCCCCGCCGGCAGCGCCGGCTTTGAGGGCGGCGGCCCCGCCCCGGGGGCGGCCCCGCGGGCGGGGGTCTCCGGGGGGAAAGTCCCCCTTCTCCACGCGTAAGGCACGGCCCCGGGTGTGCGCGGGCACAGGGGCTGACAGGACGGACCTCAGCCTTCCAGGCGGGCTGGGGACACCCGACCCAGCGGGAGCGTGCCGCTCGCAGACGACCTTTAAAGTTTCAAGCGTCCCCGAAGGGAGGCAAAAGTGCCTTGAGGGAAGTGTGCGACTTCGGAGAAGAAGTGGAGTTTGGAGGAGGGAAAAAAGAAGTTTTCTAAAATGGAAACTCTTCTCCTTTGTTTAGGAAAGCAGAGCAGCATCGAGCAGGGATCTCTTGCCTTCTCATTCCTCCCAGCCATCAGAAGAGTTTCCCTCGGAGGAATAGGGAGCCACAGAGTGAAGATGGACAGAAACTCATGCTCTCTTCCTCCTATAAAAAAGAAGAAACTCTGGGATTCAAGGTATCAGTGCTGATAGAGCATCACAGTCATGATGGCCCTGCATGGGGTTAGATGTGATTTGAATGTCACCTGTGTATTCACCTGCATTGATTTCAGGTACCTGGGGCTGGACTGTGTGTCTCTGTATGTGCTCTGAGAACCATTATTATTATCTCTTTTGAGATCCTTTACAGTTTCTTCCAGTTTGCTTTTGATTCAATATATACATATTTCAACTTCATGCACATGCTGATTGCTTTAGAGAGGCTCTCAGAAGTAGAGCAGAAAAGACTTTTAAAAAGTATTTAATGTTTGCCCTGAGCAGGCTCTTATTTGTTCTGAGGGGAAAAAAACCCACAAACAACTGCCTGAAGAACTAAAAGTTGTGTTGTAGTCAGGAAGTATCAGGTCTGCACATCACATTCTTTCAGAGAGATCACAACAGAGATCACACAGCCATGTTTTAAAAAACTGAAGATGAAAAAAAAAAGGCAAGTGGACAATACTCTCTGATCTCAGGGACATGGTGGGACTCTTGGGGATGGTCCTAGGCAGGGTCAGGAGTTGGACTTGTTGATCCTTGTGGGTCCCTTCCAACTCAGCAGATTCTGTGATTCTGTGAATTCAACCTTACTGCAGATGCATTTGGCTCTTAAATGAATGTGCTTCAGCAGGTTTCTTGAGGCTGGAAGCATTTCCTGGCCCTGCTGTGGGTCAGGGAGTCATGCCAGCTGAGGGACACCAGCAGTGATATATTATTTAGTTGATATTGATAACAAATTAATAAATGGCAATTTTTCCCAAGTAAAGAGCAAAATAAGGAGCATGTGGCCAAACCCCAGGCTGGGCTAGCTTTGTAGAAAGGCTTAATCAAGCAAGTAAATGGGAAAACATTGATAAAAGTGCAGATTGCTGAATTGGAAACAGAAAAACGGGCAGGTGACAATCATTCTTTGGGCCAGACTCAAAGTACTGATGTGAAATGAAACATTTGGGTTTCCATGAACAGAATAGGGAACAAAAAACCCAAATCCAGTATCTGGATTTGTGGCACAACTTTGTTTCTCTGCTTTTCAGGAGAGAATTCCAAATACATACAGACATGGATTTATAAACGGAAATAATTTTCCTCATCAAATGGCTTCTGCTTCCCTCAGCTTTGTACTGACCAGAGACACTGAGGAAGCCACCGCTGGCAACATCAGCATTTCATCCTGCACTGAGAAAGTGTTTCACAGGTAGTTTGGGTCCTACACAGATTCTGCAGAAAACTCCAGACTGGATCCTCAGTGTGCCCCGTTTTCCCCAGGGCCTGATTTGCATCAGGGCAAGTGGGAGGCGAGTGTGCCAGCTTAGCACCTGTGTGCAGCTGAGAGTGAGGATGATGCGCTGCTGCCCAGCAAGGGGTCTGTGAGCATCCCAGCAAAGAAAAATGCTGGAGGAGCAGATGAAAGGCAAACTGAAAGGGAATCAAAGTGGAAATAACAGAGTCAGTGAATCTCCCTACCACTGCTTGGAAATCAAGTCAGAGATGAAGCTGTCTGCTGCAGAAAAGAAAGACTCATCTTTCCAAACCCACCCTCACATGGGTACAAGCTGCTTGTTAGCAGCAGACTTCAACTCCTACCTTCCAACATGGATGAACCATCTTGCCCCATCCTTCCCTCCACTCCCTCCCTCTGCCCAGCAAATCCAGCATGCCTGTGCTGGGTTAGATGCTGGCTCCATCATTTCTGGCTTAGCTGGTATAGAGTGTATGGGTGCGGAGTGCAAAGAGGTGCAACAACAACAGTTCATGTCAGGTACTGATGGATGTGGTGTGACACAGACTACCATCCCGCAGATGTTCCCATTCACAGATTCCCACCAAGGCCAGGTTTTTCCAGCATTCCCACATGCAGCCCCCCAAACTGTGAGTCTTCAGTCCTCTGTTCTCTTCTCCATTTTGGACCAGCAGTGGGATCCCTTGAGTGCTACAGGGAGCAGCCAACCCCTTCCCACCAGAATGTTGCTGAAAAGGAGGAGTCAGGACTCAGGCCATCAGAAGGGATTTAAGAAGAGATTTCCCAAAGGAAAGCTGACATCTCCCATAGCCACATGATTCCCTTTGCTATCCAGACAGGGACTGCAGTCTCAGTTACAGTTAATGACTTTTATTATTCCAGTCTTCGGATAGAATTTCATGTTGAACAACCTCCACAGTACTCTCCTCTACTCTCTGCTGGGTCTTACCCACCTAAGCAAATGGGAAGGGACGAAGGCATTCTTGGAATGATGCTAAGCAGAGATTACAGAGTTAACTTTACTCCTCCATTCAGTGAAACCAAATTGGATTTCCCAAGCTAGCAGCCCCTCTCCTGCCTTCCCTGGCTGGTATCAATCTAATTAAATACTCTTTCTCCCACGCAGCTTTTTTTCTCCTCAATTCAGCTTACTGGAAAAGCAGATTGAACAGGCTCTGAAGGACTTGGGCTGGGGTCAGCTGGCAAAACTTATCAAATTGCCAAAGCAGCATCAGCACAGTGGCATAGGAACAAGGACCTCGACACAGAGCTGGGTGGGACCACGACAGCATATCTGCTTTTCTGTGCAAGCTTTCCAAACACTTGGAACCTGCATCTAATAAATCCCTAAATCAGCTGATGTAGGGGTGTCAAAGGCAGAGTGGTTTTCTAATTGGGAAAAGACTCGTCTCAAATCTGCAGGAATCTCCTGAGTTTGCTATGGAATAATGGCCAGTCTTCGCGAGTGAAGATCCGGGGAAGGTCTTTACACCTTCCAGCCTGCGCATTGGATTTTTTAGGTGAGACACAGTGTGCGTGGAACTGAGCCCACCCTTTAATCCTAAGGTTCATCTGCCGGGGCCAAGCGAGCTTGGACGGTGGCAGTGAGGTCCTTAGGACGTAGATGGATTGCCCTTTTAAGGGTTAACGAGCTCCATCTGCCCGGGAGTGGCCCTGACTGGGAATCGAACCCGGGTCTCGTGGTATGGGCACGGCGCTGTCACCGCTATGGAATACAGCATAAGAAATTAAGTCCTTCAATAACATAGCCCTTGCAATGACACCTCCAAATAATGCATTTTCTCCTTCATCTGGTGTGCAGAGACTCACAGTTTGTTTTTTCTCTGTTTGAAGATACAGGGTCTCACTGTTCAGCTTCTTGGTGCTGATGAGCATCATTGCTCTTACAGCGATTTCTCTTCAGTGCTTGGTATGGAGGGAATTTGCAACCCCAGGACAGTGGCAGACCCAGCCCTTGTGGGGTCTCCTTGATGCAACAGGAGCAACCACAGATAAGATGGCCCAGGGAGGGGATGAGCTGGCAGCCTCATCCTGGTTCTTGCCCAGACAAGCGCCTCGTCCCAAGGACCAACTTGTCCCTGGCTGTGTGCTGATGGAGAACTGACAGCTTTGTCCCGAACTCAGAGGAAAAGAGTTTTTTCAGGAGCTCTGCCATTGCTCTGCACCAATCGTTTTTCACCAGCTGGGATTTCTCCTCACCACAAGTGACCCCAGAACCTCTGGGGTGTCTCACGTCCCCAGGGGGCACCTGGATGCAGCTCCCATGCCTGTTTTCCAGGGAATTGCCGTCAGCTCTTACACTGCTTGATTTGTTTCCCTGCCCTGTAGATCACCCTCACTTTTACATTTCTTCAACCTGTTCAGATGTCTGTTCCCAGGTCTCGAAACACACAAACTGAACAGCTCCCTGTGGCACATAACACATAGCTTCATGTCCTTTGCCACCTACCACGGCATTTCAGTGTAGGTGCCCCTGCTGAAGCTGACACTGCTCAGCTCTCCCTCTCAGAGCCTCAGAAGGATAACTCTGGTGCATTTAGCCTTTCAGCAATTCCCTAACACCAAATAAATAAATAAATAGCCAAAGTAAGTTACTAAACCAAACCGCTGCCTCTATGATGAAGCAAAGCTTCTGTCACCCCACAGCCCTTCTGCCCTTGTTCCAGAACGGCCACATACCAGAACAAGGAGTAGCCCCATGAGGACAAGCCTGCAGCACCAGTGCCTTCAGCTGAGGTGTTCCAGTCAGTTTTCCACATATTTTTGTCTCAAGGGATCAGAAGGGGGCATGTGAGATGATGGGAGTTCCATGGCCAAATCCACTGAAGCCTTGATGCTGCCAGCAAATCCTGAAGTCTGGAAAACTGCCCTTCAGAGCAGCATTTTAAGTTGCCAGTCACCAGCAGTGCCTGCTAAAACAAGGTGCCATCATGGCCTGAGGGCCAGGGACTCCTGTTTGTTTGATGAAGATGGTTGGTCTTAACCAAAAATGAATGCACACCTTTCTGGCCCCGGGGAAGACACCCCAGCTGCTGTGAGGTCCTGCCCTGCCTGTGGCCATGAAAATGTTGGAAATGTTGGACACAAGTGGAAGGAGGCTCAGGTGGCTCTAGAGGCACTTGCTGTGGTGCTGGCATGATGCTCATGTTAGGAA